TAACTCTTGGATTCACTGCCTTCCTGCAAAAAAAAAGGCACCGCCAAGACCCTTTCTGAAAGGGAGCCGAGTCGCGGCTGCTCCCTGCTCTCGGATGCCGTTCCAGCGAAGGCCTCTGGGAGAAGAGAGTTTCGAAGAGCCCAAAGTCGCAAAAAGTCGCCCCNNCCCCCCCCCCCCCCCCCCCATTTTCTTCTCTCTGAGCACGTGGCTTAAGCTTCTCAGGGAGGTGCAACCCTCGAAAGCTCGGAAGGTCCAGCGGGGGTTCAGATCAAGCAGCGATCTCGGGCAAACGAACCTTAAGAGCATCCGCCACCACCCTGGCACCTGGCATTGCGGCATCGAAGAAGAAAGCCGCGCTCTCGGCCCCACCTGCATCTCGCAAGGAGCGGCCCGTCAAGTCCTTCCAGCGAGCTCTCCGCAAAGAAGATGTAACAGTAATGGGCGAATAGACAATCATAATCATAATTGTACTAATAGTAGTATGAATGATACTCATAATATTACTAACTGTAACCTCTTTTCACCCACAATGTCAAAGGAACCGAATCGCATCCTTGCACTTCGACCCTCACCGCCCCCACGTTTCCCCCCCCCCCCCCCCCCCGGGCCAGCTCGGTGATCGAGGCCAGGACCTTCGCCAAAAGGGGCCAAGGACAGGGAGGGCCTTCAATTTCAGCAGGGCGACTCTGCCTGGAGCTCCGGGAGCAGAAGGCGAGCGCGAGACGCCTCCTGGAACAGAAAACACGCGGGGAGCTGCTGAGAGGAGAAAAAGGGATCGTGAATAACTCCTGGTGGGCTTCCATGCTGCAGTCACCGCACCTCACACCATAAGCCAAGACGACCTGTGACATGGCTGCCCGCGCGATCTGCCGAGAAGCGTCATCCCGTTGCCCATTGGAAGCCATGTGCCACTAGCTCCCCATTCCCACACATTAGATTCTTTAAGCGCGCACCTTTGATTCAACAGAAAAACTGTTACTAGCGTAATGTGGCAGCCTACGCATAAGGACCATGCCTCAGTCCTGAGAAGCTGTGCCCGTGACATTGGATTCGGCCCAAATCTTTGCTTGAGCTCGGCTGCAGAAACCATGCTCGGGGTTCGTGAACTCAGCGGTTGCTCAGCCGGTTGCTGAAAGCCAGTCTAGTTGCCTTGTCTGCCTTGTCGAGGGTGTACTGGAGCTGCGAGACTTGTTCAAATCAGAGGCCGCAGCGGGACCAAGCGACTCAGCCCATGGCCCCATCGAGTCGATGGTGCGCTCGATCGATCAGCTGTGCCGCCTGCAGTCGCCCCCCAGAAGAACACCGCGTCTTGGGCCAAGAGCCCCAAAAGGCCTCCTTGAGGTAGAAGGTGCTCTGCTGTGAGAACTCCCCGACCAGCCCGACCTCGCGAGCTGAGGCTCGGAGCTCCGCCCCCGGAGCCGGGAGAGCCTCGACCCCCCAGCGGCGCGCCTGCTCCGCGAAAGCGCGGGCGGCCGGGCGCTGCAGCTCCTGGCACCAGGCGGAAGCGGGGCGAGTCGAAAAACCAGACTCTTGACAGCCCAAGGCGGTCCGATTTCGGCTGCGAGGAGTAGTCTGGCGGCTTGGCCTGGGTCACGCGAGCGGGGCCATTTTGGGGCATCGGGGGATGCTGAGGCCCATGCACAGAAGTACCTCAGCTCACTCTTCAATCTCTACCACACTCCCGACTTCTTCTCTGCATTTAAGCTGCGCATCATTGATGATCTTCTTGCACTTTGCCTGGCCCGTCGTGACGGTACGATATGACGCTGCACTTCTCAAGAATCGCATGCCGATGGAACCGGTTGTTGTGGTTGCAGACTTTGAAGGAAGTTTGGATCCAGTCCGAAAAATGCGGCCAAGACCTGAGATCTGTCAGAGTTGCATGGAAAGTCAGGCTGCATCAAAACCCCACCATTGGCTTCCGAGCACGGTGTTTGCCACCCTTGCTGCGTGTGCCTGCCAGCATCCAAATGTGTCGCCGAAACGAAGCTTCGACACGGATCATGCGCCTTGGAGTGGGAATGGCCAGGAGATTGCCTCACCAATGATCAGTTTTGAACAGGATTCTACCAGTACTTTCCGGTTCCGGTTCACTTCCACTCCGTGCTGGGTGGTTGGCTGCGCTGTGCATACTGCATGGTGCAGTGTGCTGCGTTGTATTGGGTCGCCTTGGATGGCCCGCATGGAAGATCTCGCATCACACAGTTCAGATAAGGCACCCCAAGAAGTCGTCACCTGCAATGATGAGACACAAAGTCACCATTGCCCGTGTGCTGCTAGTGGCATTTCACATGACAAGCTGACGGCACTGCCTGAAAGCAGACTGGGGCTAGACCAGGCATGAGGCATGGTCAGCCGGCGCTCCAAAGTGACATCAATGCGACCATGTGTGCTTCTCGCAACTCGTGATTTCGGTCGGTAAAGGGCTCGTATACGATTGTGAGAATGAACAGTATCCAGAACGAAAGATCCGGACTGTCGTGTTCATGGAAAGTCCTACACCACG